TTTTAGTAGAGTAGGGGTTTTGCCATGTTGGCCAGGCTGGTCTCGAACTCCTGACCTAGGGTGATCCATCCACCTTGGCCTCCCAAAGTGCTGGGTTTACAGGCATGAGCCATCGCACCCGGCCTCAAAATGCTATCTTAAACTCCCAGTGTATAATTTGTTGCCATCAATGCTGAAAATCTAGTGTAGGTCTGGTGCTAACTTCAAAACAGGAAACTATTCATTTCTTTCCACTTTTTCACCAAGTGGGTGGAATCTGGTGTTGGGTCAAAAAACAGTGTCGTGGAAAGTCTAACCAGAACCAAGTGGCAGATCTCTCTTCCAACCCTGAGGGCAAAGTGCTTCATTTTCCTCTTGGACGTATTAATAAAATAATACATGCTAAAGGTCACAAAACCTTGTGAAATGATCACAGTTTAGTAATTCCCCCTGATGCAGATCTGTACCACTTATTTTCTAAACAGCTGTTAGAAAAGAAACAGGTTGAAAGAAAAACACCACCAAAGTCCAGATGAGCCTTCCTGACATCTGCAGCAGAGAGATGCTGAGTGACTCGAAACTAATGAAAATAAGTATGGTATTCTAACACAACAGTGGCTGTGACAGTAACTTACTTAAAATTTCCATTGACTAAGATAGTTGAAGGTCAGTGTCAGAATCCGCTTCAGACAGTAATACATCTAAATACAAAAAGTTTGTGTGTGTCTCGGTTTTCCCACTATACTACTTTGAAGGAGATATTTCCATGCAAATACTGTCCTCGTGTGGTCAGAACCAGTTACTTCAAAGAAGATATTCCAGTGGAATTTAAAATAATTTGTGTTACTATGGAAAGAGACAAAGTAAGTTAAATTATCATATTGTAATGGGTAAAAAAAAAAAGGGGGTTCATCTCCAAAATGATTTTTCCTTGGCAATCCCCAAAATTTTCTCTCTTTCTTTTGTGGCTTTCTCATTAAAATCAATTTTGCTGATTTCATTCCTGTAGAAAATTATGAAAGTATAAAACAATCACTGCAACCAGTGAAAGAGACTTGTTCGTTCTTTCATTTTCACTGCTGGACACACTTATCAAATGAGTATTTTAAAATTTATTCATCGATTCATTGATTGACACTTGGCATTTCCAACTCTGTGGCATTGTCAATGATACTGCAATAAACATTTTTCTGTGTCTCTGTGTATACACAGTTGTACATGCGTAAGAAATCCTCTTGTGTTCAGACCTAGAAAATTCAGGGTGGAAGGGTATTACATCTTCAGCCCTTACTAGAATGTGAGATTCTTCCCCAAAATGGTTGTACCAAATTACATTTCCATCAGCTGGGTACACTCGCCCAACTTCCTCACTCACATTCATCATGTTTTTTAACTTGTGTCAATCTGCGAGATGAGAAAACGATGTTTCAGTGTTGTTTTATGCATTTCCCTGATTACTTGTGAGGGGTTAAGCAGTTTTTCATGTTTCCTCTTTATCAATTTCCTGTTTATGTCTTTTGCCATTTTCTTACCGATTTGTAAAAGTTTTAATATATTGTAGACACTAATTACTAGTTATATAAGCTGCAAATATCTTCTACCACTCTAAGTCTCATCTTTCACTTTTATTATGTCTTTTGATAGGCTAATGTTAATTTCAATGTAGCCAAAATCATCAGTCTTTTCCTTTTTGGTTGATGTTTTTTGTATTTTGTGAAATCTCTCCCTACTCAAGATAATTAAGATATATTCTAAACAATTTAGTTTTGCATTTCATACTTCGTCTTTAATCCACTTGGAATTTTTTTGTATGATACAAGGGATCCAATTTTATTTTATTTGTTTCGAGATGGAGTTTCACTCTTGTCAGCTGGGCTGGAGTGCAGTGGCGCAATCTTAGCTCTCTGCAACCTCTGCCTCCTGGGTTCAAGCGATTCTCCTGTCTCCGCCTCTGGAGTAGCTGGGATTACAGGTGCCCGCCACCACGCCCAGCTAATTTTTGTATTTCTAGTAGAGATGGGGTTTCTCCATGTTGGCCATGCTGGTCTCGAACTCCTGACCTCAGGTGATCCACCTGGCTCAGCCTCCCAAAGTACTGCGATTACAGGTGTGAGCCACTGTGCTGGGCCTGTTTTGTTATTAATGACACTACAGTCCTCGCCCTTATCCAATTGTAAGGAAATAATTTCTGAAACATTGAACAGGCCCATGGTAAAGATTCAAGAGTTAAGACTTGAGAAAAATACAGGTTTTGGGATAACAGCTAGGCTCAAATCCCAAACTTAGCTTTCTCTAGCCACATGACCTAGGGCCAATGAGGCTGTATCCTCATTAATATATAACTAAGTAAAAAATTGTTGTAAGGACTAGAAGTAATATAAGAAAAGTGCCAGGCCAGGCACAGTGGCTCATGCCTGTAATCTCAGCACTTTGGGAGGCCAGGCAGGACCACTTGAGCCCAGGAGTTTAAGACCAGCCTAGGCAACACAGCAAAACCCTGTCTTACAAAAATTAAAAAATTAGCCGAGCATGGTGGCACACCCCTCTAGTCCCACTATGTGGGAAATGGAGGCAGGAGGATCATTTGAGCCCAGGAGTTTGAGGATACAGTGAGCTATGATCAAACCACTACACTCCAGTCTGGATGACAGAATGAGACTCTGTCTCTTAAGAAAAAAATGTACTTGCCTCTGAGGTCTTAGTTGTGTTCCAGATGGTTAATAGTCATCTGTAATATGATAATACTATTACAACAATTACTATCAGATAAACACAGTATAGTTCTGAGTTAAATCATTTTTATTTTGCCAATTTGTAAATTTAATGTATACAACCAAACCTGAATGATCTTGCTGATTCTTAAAAAGCCTGCAATGTTTCAGGTAGTCCTCATTGTTCACCATTCCCACTTAGGAGTAAGATTCTGCAGTTATCTTTTGCTTAGCTTCCTGTATTCTTATTGCATATGTTAACTCAAAAATCGTAAGATCTATAGATTTAGAAAAGGAGAGACTTTGTTTCTTATAAGGAGTTACAGCCTGCAAGGTGGCCATTCTGCAGGCTGGGAAGCATGCCTCCAGCCAAGACCACATACAGACACTTCAGAGGAGGAGCTACAGTAGGAACTTTATGCTGAACAGGTTGGCTAAACACACATATTCAACAAGTTAGAGGAGCGGCTATGAATATGCATGAAGGTGGTCTTGACACATGCATATTAAACAAATATGCATGTTTAACAGACAACCCATGTTCACTTTGGGGTGGAGACTTAACATTTAAATGTATTACAATTAGGTCCTATATCGCAAAACATCTTTTCACGACAGAAAGGTACGTAAGCATGCAATCACTGTACACTGGCCAGAACTAGTCCATGGTCAGCGACCTTATCAGGAGAGTTACTGAAATCGATGAAAGCTGTATTTACGGCTGGTGGGACAGGGTTGTTAGTGTCTGGTGGTCGATGAGTTGCAAATTGTTTTAATATTGTGAGGCCAGTGCTTGTTCAGCTGCTAAAGAAAAAGAAAAACCTTGAAGCATAGTGAGAACATAGTTTATTTTATAAGTGTAGGGATGCATGACTTTTAACCCTTGCCTGGCATGGGCTTACGTCCTGTTTATACTTTGGTATCTTACTGCCATGGAGTCAGTTCCATCAGTCTTATCATCTCCGTGTTTTTAATTAATTTATTTTTGAGACACAGTTTCACTCTTGTCGCCCAGGCTGGAGAGCAATGGCACGATCTCCACTCACTGCAACCTCCGCCTCCCGGGTTCAAACGATTCTCCTGCCTCAGCCTCCCAAGTAGCTGGGATTACAGGTGTGTGCCACCACGCCCGGCTAATTTTTGTAATTTTTAGTAGAGAAAGGGTTTCACCATGTTTGCCAGACCTCAGGTGATCCACCTGCTTCGGCCTCCCAAGTGCTGGGATTACTTACAGGTGTGAGCCACCGCTCCCGGCCTCTATTTTGTGTGGCCAGTCAGCTGTCTCCTCTAAATCACAAAAGGGGGAGGGTATAACCAGCTCCATCTGACCTCCCATCCCGTTATGTCTGGCCACTCGGTTGCTAAGATTTTTCTGGTGTCTCCTTGGCGAAAAGGGGGTCTGTTCAGTTATTGGAGGGCTTAAGATTTTAAATTTACAGACTTCGAAGAAGGGAACAAGATACACGTGTAAGGGAATAAGAGGAAGTTACCCCGAGTCTGAGTCAGTGCTTCCTTCTCCACCGTGTAACTCCAACTTAAGAGTTACTGCCACTCGGCTTTTATTGGCCACGTCTCTCCTGGGAAGGGAGGCAAGGGACGAAATGGCGAGGGAGACATGGTTTTTGCTAGGGAAGCCTCGGCCCAGGACGCAGCGCCACCCGTTTTCCAATCAGCGCCGCGAACTGCATTCCTCCTAGGTCTCTTTCAGTAGAGACCTTTTAATAATAAATACTATTACTTTTCTTTACAATTCACACTTGCGGTCATTATTTCAGTCGAGCTTTTCAACAGCTCTGTGAGATAGGTATTATTTCTATTTCGGAGAAGAGAGAGCAGTGCCCTTGAGCCACAGGGCTCATACATCGGAGCCTATCACCACTCCGAATCTTAATCTCCCGGGATGACCGCAGACCGGCGGCCCAGGACCACTGCTCCAGCCGTTTCCCCAGGTAATCCACCTGCCTTGGGTTACCTTTTCGCGCGGCCCAGTTAGCCGCAACCAGCCGCCATTTACCCGCTTTCCCCAAACCAGGAAAACCACAGAAACGCAGGTGCGCGGCCAGTCTCTTCCACGCCTGGGAGCGCAGAGCTTACAGACCTAGGCCGCCCAAGTCCCCTCACCCCAAGGGCTACCCAAGAACCCCGACTAGCCTGTTTGGCTGACTCAGGCGCCCAACGCCCACCCGAACTCAGTCGCCACAGAAATTCCCTACTACCAGCTCGCCCGCCCGGTGTTCACAGGCCGCTCTAGCCGGGGTCAGAGAGACCGCAGTCTCGTTGCTCCCGGCTTGACGTCATCGGCAAGCGCCGCAGCGCAGTGGCGGGCACGCGCAGCCGAGAAGATGTCTCCGACGCCGCCGCTCTTCAGTTTGCCCGAAGCGCGGACGCGGTTTACGGTGAGCTGTAGGCGGGAGGGTGCAGGCCTGACCCGGCGCTATGCTTTGCCCTCTTCTCCCTGAAATTACTCGAATTTTGCCCTGGGGTAAAGCGAGACAGAGGTGTGTCCGCCTCAGCGTCCGCTCCGGGCCCCGTCGTGGGTTGAGGGGTAGGGAAAGACGCGCTACCCGCCTCTTCTTTGCGGGCTGGGCTGTCAGCCTCCGCCCACCCGCCAGCGGGTCCCCGGACTCCGCGTGCTGGGCGCGTCGGCTCCCCGCTTGGAGTGCCCACCTGCAGACTACTTCTGGTCGGGTCTATCCCCTCAGCTCGTTTAGTGGGGCAGGTGTCTCGAGAAGGGGAAGGGGAGCTGCTGGAGGGGGCGGGTGGGAGTGGTTTCAGTCCAAAGACCTGGCTCCCGCCCCAGCCTTCCGAGCTGCCAAGTGCTTGTTCCCGCCGTCTCTTCACCACCCCTTAACCCACCGTGTCTCCTCCTAAGAGATCAATGAGGAGATCCTAAGCGGGAAAACGCAGATAGAGCACCTTGGGAAGGGTAACTAGATGCTATTTTATTCTTGCTCAATGTGGAAGGGTGGTTTTGAGCATTTGGTAAACCCTTGACAGCGCACTTTCTCATTTAACTATTAGAGTAACACTGTGAAGCAGGCTAAGTTGATTATTCCTGGTATATGAGATAGAAGCTGACATCCCCAAAAAACTTGTGACTTCACTCGTTTTTCTGACTTTAGACACTGTATTCTTTTTATGTTGCTCGTCACGGCAACGTAAGTATGAAGAACACTTTTAAGTTACCTGACTCTATTAGTCTCTAGCATTTGCACCAACATTTCAAGGCATTCAACTACTCAGGTATTCAGCTGTGGTTAGGTAGTTATAGGGATGCCAGGATTAAAATTCTGTGAAAGAAAAATTCATCCTTTGTAGTAAGTAGTTTTCTTGTTTATGTGTGTGTGTATATATATGTATATATACACACACTTTTTTTAATGGGTTATATTTTGTGTATGTCATCATAATCGTTTTCCTTGTGTGCATTTTGCTGCAATCTCTGGTGCTTTGAAAGCCTGCTAAGAGTAACTGTTAGGACTATCCAAGATCATATTAGCGGCTGGGCGCGGTGGCTCACGCCTGTAAATCCAGTACTTTGGGAGGCGGAGGCGGGCAGATCACCTGAGGTCAGGAGTTCAAGGTCAGCCTGGCCAACATGGCGAAACCCTGTCTCTACTAAAAGTACAAAAATTAGCCAGGCGTGGTGGTGGGCGCCTGTAATCCCATCTACTTGGGAGGCTGAGGCAGGAGAATCGCTTGAACCCAGACAGCGGAGGTTGCAGTGAGCCAAGATCATGCCAGTGCACAATACCTGGGCAACAGAGGGAGGCTCCATCTCAAAAAAACAAACAAAAAAATTCGTACTAGCCCTGAAAAGGACCATTAAATTGGAGATCATCTAGTTCAGTGTTTCTCAAGCTTCTTGTGAAATGCAGATTCTGGCTCAGTAAGTCTGGAAGGGGGCCTGAGATTCTGCATTTCTACCAGCTTCCTAGATGATGCCGCTACCGCTGCTGCTGGTAGTAAAAATCTACAGCAACCCTCTATTTAACTGGTGATGAAAATGAAGCACAAGGAGATAAAGGGACAGGCCCTAAATTACTCAGCCTGTTAGTGGCAGAGCAAGGAATGGACACGTTTTGGATAAATGTAATTCCTGTGAGGTAATAAGATGACTTTCTAAGTGTATGTGAGTGTTCATAGAATGAATGCCTTTTGCAGTATTTTTGTCTTTAAGTTATGATTCCTTTAAGACAATCTGCAGATTGTCAGCATGATTTTATTGAGTGCTGCATATCGGGGACTGAACAAGATTCCTAGAGGAGGCAAGACTTGACCTGGGTGTGGAAGAATGGGTAGAATTTGGATGAGCAGGTAGGAAGAGCAACATGAATGTGTGAATACGCTAGAATGAGTTTGATAGAAAATGATGAAAAATGACTAGATTTTAGTGCAAAGTATGTGTTAGGGAGTATTGGGAATTAAGGTTGGGTAAATTGAGTGGGATAACATTATCAAGGACCTTGAGGAAGCTATGAAGCTTCAAAACTAAAACGTGCAAATAAGGAGCCATTTAGATATTTTTTTTTTTAACACAATACTGTCATGAATATGATATTTAAAGAGATAGTAGGAGGGAAAACCTAGAATGAAAAAGCCCAGCAAGGAAGCTCTTGCCAAATTTAAAGTGATGAGTATCCATATCATTAAGTAGCGTTGGAATAAGGATTACTGAGAGAATGACTGATAGGTAATTTTTCCCAGGTATAAGCTTTTTTTAGTTAGAAAAATACACTATCAATGAATGATATATTTTTCAGCAAATAAGCAGAATCTTTACAAGTATTTGCCATTTTAATTTTTTTTAGAAGTCTACCAGAGAGGCCTTGAACAACAAAAACATCAAGCCATTGTTAAGTACCTTCAGCCAGGTACCTGGCAGGTAAGGCATTGATATCTATGAAAACTACTTGCCTGAATCTTTATACATACCCTGAGCTGTTTGAAAAATGAGGATGTCTTTTGTTTTTAATAGTGAAAATGAAAAAAAATGTACCCTTGACCAAGCTTTCAGAGGTGTTCTAGAAGAAGAAATTGTAAGTATGTTTTTCCATTGTTAAAATTTTGCTGACAAATTAATAAACGATCTTATTTAAAAATTGCTTTTTTTCTTAGAATGGATATTTAAACATCTTTTTTTAGAGTAAGCTTTCTGCTTTGTAAAAGTTGACTTGACAGTATACGAGTTCTGTAAGGATTTTGATAGCACAGGTACATTCTCAGGGTTTGGTTTAATAAATGACAAGAGCCCTGTCCAAGTGAGATAAGAAAAATTGACATGAGGTCTTAGGAAGAACTAGAGGTGAAGGTGGGCTCTCTCACTTTCCCATGTAAACAGTGACACATCCTGTAGTGGCATGAAAGGTCTAGTCCAAGAATATTTAGCTTAGGAGCTGGGATTCCATTCCCTCATTTTCCTCTGGCATCCTCCTCATCAGTAAACTTACGTAAATAAGGGCTCTTCAACTTCACTAGAGAAGTCTAACCATGAAAAATCTGAATTTATTTACCAATAATGGGGCACCTTATGAAAGGAAAAGTTTCAACAGTTTATTCTTGGTCAAGCAAAGGTTGAGTCCCCAAAAGCTATATTCCCTTCTATTGGCCGTAATACAGTGTCCCTTTCTCTCAGACAATTCTGATTCAAAAATGATTCTTTCCTTTTCTTCCATTGAAAGGCATTGGGCAAGTTATTTTCCTTTTCTGTGCTTCAGTTTCTTTTGAAAGGGGAGATACCGTTCTTTCAGTGTTATTGTATATGAAACAGCACTTAATGAACGCTCAGTAAATGCTGGTTATTATAATTTTATAAAACCTAAGCACTGCCTTCCTTCTATTAAAACCACCCCTCAGACACATGGGTGTATTAGTAGTTAATTCCCCTAGCCCTGCCTTTGCCCTGTGCTACTGGCTGAGTTATAGCTTCAGCACTTCTGTCCTTGATTAGCTTATAGCCTTCATCTTACTAATATAACCGTTTTCCTGAGACCATTGGATTTTGAGTGAGTTACCTACCTGTTACTTAACATACTTCTACAACTACTGATTCTATATGTTACTGTTAAATTTTTGTAACTTCATATTAAAAAGTATTTTCTGTAAGAAATGTATTCCGTATTTGTGATAGTCAATATAATATCAGAGTACATGTGTTTACTGTTACCTAGTTTAGTCTGAACTCTTGCCCCTAAATTAAATTGTTTCTCCTCTGTTGGTAGATAAATCATTCATCATGTGAAAACGTTTTAGCTATTATTTCTCTTGCTATTGGGGGAGTAACTGAAGGTAAGTATGGTTCTGTTTTGTTTTGTTTAAAGTAGTCTTGGACATGACATGTTTTATTTAAAACGTCTTCTCCCCATACTTCTCCACATCTGATTTTGTTTATTCTTCAAGTTCTACCTGACTCCCAGCTTTGCCAAGAAGTCCCAATTGAATTAGTTCACTCTTATTTCTCATCTCTATTATGCAGTGCACATTTTGGCACTTTCTTTGTTCTCCAGTTGTTTTGTTCATTCAGTAAATCTTTATTGAGCATCTACTATGTGCCTGGTACTGAGCTAGGACCTGGAGATTCAATGGTGAATAAAACATATTCCCCTGCTTATGTGGAGCTAATGGAAGAAACAGATACAAGATGTGCATAGGACAGAGCTAGGACCTGGAGATTCAATGGTGAATAAAACATATTCCCCTGCTTATGTGGAGCTAATGGAAGAAACAGATGTATGCATGCCTTACTTTGGTGTAAGTACTATGGTCGAAGTGGGAATGAAGTGTAGTTAGAGGGAATAGAGCCAACATGTCTCTCTAAACTTCATTCTAAAGGAATCAGGAGAGATTTTAGAAAAGAACATGAGAACTAGAATGTGAAGTATGAAGAATTTGTCAGACATACTAAGAAGAGAGTAGCTAGAGAATTGTGTAGAGCAGGAGGAGGAGAGGACAATGAGAATGATGAGGAAAGAAGCTGGTTAGGTCCATTTATAAAGGGCATTAGGTGCCATACTAAAGAGCAGCTGCAGATGAATGATTCCATTTGAAGTGACTGCTGGCAGGAAAACTGGGCAGGGGCCTGTTAAAATGGCTGTATGCGATAGCTTTAGAAGACTGGGTAAACAATGCACATAGTACACAGTGCCTAACACATAATGGGAGCTCATTAAATACTTGCAGAAAGAAGAAATAAAAAATTAATTTATCAGCATTCTTCTTTAACAATTTGGTTAAAATACTCATTTAATTAATTCAAATAATGTATATGAAAACTCCTTTTTAATCTGTAAAGCATTATTCACATTGTGTTATTTTGATGCTTCTATTAAAAACTGGCACACACCTCCCAGTATAGGGGCAAACTATTTTGTGAACTTACGTTCATAAATTCACGTTGTTAAACTTTTATACAAGCTGCCTAATCATTCATTCATTCATTAGGCATTGTTAGGTAAGTTCCACAATGTAATGTTCCTGTCTAGTTTCAGTCAATTTTCAGTGTGTCCTTAGTTCATTGATTAACTTTATACATTACTCTTGTACAGCTGGTGATGTTTTTAATGAAGAAGTTGTACAAAGTCTAGTCTGTACTTGGAACTTTTGAGAAGGATAAGGACTTAAGAGCTTAAACTGTAAAGGCATAAATGCATTTTTATTTTAGGGAGAATTTTTCTTTTTGAGACAGATTATAATTGTTTGCTTATGTGACATGTTTTTAAATTATCCATAAATATATTTTGTTAAATTCAATTTGGCCGATATTTATTGAGCTTCTGTTTGGTGTGAGACACTACTGGTTAAAGCGTATGAAAATGCCTAACCTTAAAAAGCTCATAGTCTACATTCAAAGGTCACTGGTTAGGATGTGCCAAATGCTACAGTGTATTTATGTAGAGTGTGCTTCAAAAGCGTAGATGAAGTAGCCTGCTTCAAGGTACCAGAGTTATTTAGATGAGCAGACATTCACTCTGTGCTTAGAAAGATGGAGTTGAAATTTACCATGTGGTAAAGAGGAGGAAGAGTATTTACACAGAAAACAACATTGTAAACAAAACCATGGAAGGGTGAACATGTCATGGTGTTTGGGAGCTGCGGAGTGGGAACTAGGGAGGGATGTCTGTGGCCCAGGTAAGGGTAGAGAGAGATTGGTGTGGAAGCTGGGACACAGGTTGTGAAAGCTCTTGGGGGAATCACACTGTAACCCAGTGATTCCCAGACTTGCTGGCTCATCAGAACCACCAGTGAATCTATTTTTAGATGAGATTCCCAAACCTTGCTTAGTTCTACTGACTCAGAATTTTGGTAGTAGAATCTAGAAAAAGTTCTCTAATTATTAAATGTGAGTTAACTTATTCCAGGCTGTACTGCAGCTAAGGGCAGAGAGTATGCTTCTCAAATCTCTTGGATGTGCAGGGTATATAATATTGAATCTAAGTATTGTTCGGGACTTTCGAGGTCACCTAGTCCCGTCTCATCTCTGGCCTAGACCGCTTCCCTGCTGTAACATCCCTGATGGGTGGTCATTCAGCCTCTGCTGAATCATGCTCATTAGTGGAGCTCACTGTTTGAGTCCTGTTAGACAAGTGTGGTTATTGGTGTGTTCCCTTGTATTGAGCTGAAATCTGCTGTTTTATTCCACCACTGCTTTTCGGCAATATCCCTCACATCACATTCCAGATATGATCTTACTAGTGCAGAGTACAGCTGGAAAGATTTCTTCCTTTTTCTAGATATAGTGTATTAATGCACTGTTTTGGACTTAGATCACCCTAGATATTTTTCCCCATATACCATGCCTAAGTAACTACTTTTCTTAAACACTTATGAGTGTTAGTAAGTACCCATTGCCTTAAAATAGAAGGAAGAATGAGTAGGGATATAAAAGTATTTCTAGGTAGTCTGAATAGACTAAATAGACCTTTTCTTAAGAAAATCTTAATTTTGTTCTTTAAACAGTAACTTTCTATTTTTCCATTCTTTCCCCTGAAACAATACTGTTATTTTAAATGTTAAATCATAGTTAATATCAAATCTTGTTATTTTTTGAAGATAATCTTTTCAAATCACAAAGACAATTTAGCAACACTACAAAACATTTGGAAATGAGAAAAAGGGAAAACAGTACTCATAATTCCTCTACTTTTAAAAACCATTCATCTGGTATAATGGTTTTAGTTTCTATAGTCTTTTAAGAATTTTTTTATTGTCATAATCATATGTACATACAATTTTGAATCCTGCCTTTTTCACTTAGCATTATATCCTAAGCATTTTTCCAAGTTATTATAGTCGTTATAACCATCGTTTTTAATTGGCTGCATTATATTCTTTTGAATAGCTTAGTGGTGAAGAAAACAGACTGTGGAGCCAGACTGCCTGGGTTCGTATCCCAGCTCTACCACTTACTGGCTCTGTGATCTTGGGCAAGTTATTTAACCTCTCTGTGTCTCAGTTTTCCCATTCTATAAAATGCAAATAATGATATGCTCTACTTCATAGGGTTATAAGGATTAAATGTGTTAGTATATGTAAAGTACTTAGTGTGCCTGACATATAGTAAATGCTCTAGATCTTGTCAAGAATTATTGTCATCATTACTGAGTGCACATATCAAAAATTACTTAAATATGTCCTGTTTGGGGACTTGTAGGCTGCTTCCACTTCTTGTCCTTTTAAAACTTTGTTATGAGTAACAAAGTGTACCTTTTAAGATATTCTTCAGTATTATTTTTCATAGGCTGTTTTACTCTAATGTTTTTTTAAACTTTTAAACTGGCTTGTGCTCCACTTGAAGGTATTTGTACCGCATCTACACCTTTTGTATTGTTGGGAGATGTTTTGGATTGTCTTCCTTTGGATCAGTGTGACACAATATTCACTTTTGTGGAAAAAAATGTTGCTACCTGGAAATCAGTAAGTGCCTTAGTTTCTTTTCCTGCTAACTTTGTATTTCTGTAGATTCAGAGTTCTGAGGGTAGATTTAAAAAAAGAAATTATTTGTAGTATTGCTGATCGCCAACAAGTTTGTGCCTATGAAAAAATTATTTACTGCTGTCTGGGGAGAGCCAAGTAAAAACCATGTGTGGAGAAAAACTTGAAATACAAAATTTGATTTAATTTGAGTAATAAAAACTAACTTGAAAATTCACACTTTCACATGTTAAAAACAGTATCATGTTTTCTTATCTTATATCTGAAAATATTTTCATTTCGTTGAAAATGTTATTTGCTTTAAAAAAGTGAAAGTGGCATAGTAGATTCTCAGTGCATGTTAGTGTTCTTTAATATTTTACTTCCTGCAACTTATTGAAGAATGTGTAACAAGTTCAGAAGAAGAGTGATAATTTCCATCTTAATTTCAGAATACATTCTATTCTGCTGGGAAAAATTACTTACTACGTATGTGCAATGGTAAGTAATTGAGTGATTAAATGATAGCTTTTTAAAATGTAAATATGCCCAGAAAAACACGTGGTTGAATTAAATACCAGTGATAACATTTTAAAAATAGATTAGGTATCTGTATTTTTAACTAACAATCTGATTTATTAGAACTCATTCACTTTAAGCTGTTTTTGTTCTGGGCATAAACTTAATGAAAGTCAGAAACATGTAGTAAAGTTTGTCTTTTTCATGTCATATTGAACTTGTTTTGTTCCTAATTTCTAGTACTTTTTTGTGGCAGTGGTTTCTGCCCCCATTTTAAGAACTACTGCTTTAGGAAAATACTCTTGACATACTGGTTTAGAAACTTTTAGGTATGGTTGTAATAAACATAGAATTATCTTTTCTGTGTAACGTTCATTTTCATATATCGTTAGATCTCCTAAGAAGATTGTCTAAATCCCAGAATACGGTCTTCTGTGGACGGATTCAGCTCTTTCTCGCCAGGCTTTTCCCACTGTCTGAGAAATCAGGTAAGCTTTTATGCATTAAATGAGTTTTCTGCAGGAAAATCTTTTCCAGTTTTTAATAGATTAAAATCTGTCATGATAATGAGAAAAATAGTTCTAAAAAGTTGAAAGACATCATAGAAATTGTCACTTTATTTTCTTTTACTTATAAATAGTTATAGCAGTCCTAGTATATAATACAGGTAATCTTGAAACAAAGTCATGGATTCTTTTAAGTTCAAAGCTTATTAATGTACAATTGAATCACACTGAAACATGTAGATATAAACCGTCACATCCATATTTCATAATGTATGCCTATTTTTGTGTTTCCATTTTCTCTCTCTGTCACGACTACTTAGCTATATAGACTTCCTTTCACTTCTCTTTTTTAACAGATTTTTATTGTGAAATATAACGCTTATATAGAAAAGTACATAAAGCAAATAATAATGAAACAAATACTGTATAACCACTCTCTAGCTCCTGAAATGGGACATTGCTTATTCTCCAGAGCCTTCCCCCTCCCCAGTCGGTTCAGATATGCGAGATTTTAATATCTCATTGCTTCAGTTCTCTTTTTCTTAATGCTGGGCTAATATACCACCTATTTTATATGTTGTGAGGATTAAATGAATTAAAACACGTGAAGAGCTTACAGTAGTGCCTGAGTATGGTTAGTATACACATATGTCTTTCCTAGCTCTGGTCTCTGAGAGGGCCGCAGAAGTAGTGATACTCCAGTAGCAATGAGCACATCTTCTCAAATGTAGATCATGAGGTCAGGAGATCGAGACCATCCTGGCTAACCTGGTGAAACCCCGTCTCTACTAAAAAATACAAAAAACTAGCCGGGCGAGGTGGCGGGCGCCTGTAGTCCCAGCTACTTCGGAGGCTGAGGCAGGAGAATGGCGTAAACCCGGGAGGCGGAGCTTGCAGTGAGCTGAGATCCGGCCACTGCACTCCAGCCTGGGCAACAGAGCGAAAACTCTTTCCCAAAAAAAAAAAAAAAAAATCACTATGGTAGCTATAGCCTCATGAAATATATTTCTTAGATAACAGGACTTGAAAGTTGAAATAACCCTTTGATTCATTGGCTGCAAAATGGATGATGTATTAGCAGGCATGAAAACAACATTAATTTCCTTGTGCATCTCCATCAAAGCTCTTGGGTGACCAGGTGCATTGTGAATAAGCAATAACATTGTGAAAGGAGATCTTTTTTTTTTCTGAGCAGTAAGTCTCAACAGTGGCCTTAAAATGTTCAGTAAACCATGCTATAAACAGATGTGCTGTCATCAGGGTTTGTCTTTTTATGGATGGAGCCCAAGGCAGAGTAGATTTAGCATAATTCTCAGGAGCCCCAGGATTTTCAGAATGGTAAATGAACATTGGCTTCAACTTAAAGTCACCAGCTGCGTTAGCCCTTAACAAGAGAGTCAGCCTGTTCCTTGAAGGCAGGCAGTGACTTCTCTCTAGCTATGAAAGTCCTAGACAGCATCTTCCAATATCAGAATGTTTCATCTGCATTGAAAAATCTGTTAAGTGTAGACGCCTTCATCAATGTTCTTAGCTAGATCTTCTGATAACTTACTGCAGCTTCTCCATTGGTAGTTGCTGCTTCACCTTGTACTGTTATGTTACAGAGAGGGCTTTTTTCTTTAAACCTCTTAAACCAACTTCTGCTAGCTTCATACTTTTCTTCTGTGGTGTCCTCACCTCTCAGCCTTCACAGAATTGAAGAGAGTTAAAGCTTTTCTCTGGCTAGTTTGCTTGTCTGTCCAGACCACTTAGCCTTTCTCTGTATCAGCAGTAAGGCTGTTTTGCTTTCTTATCATTCATATGTTGACTGGAGTAGCACTTTTAACTTCCCTCAAGAACTTTATCTTTGCATTCACAGCTTGGCTGTTAAGCACAAGAGAAGTTTCAGCCTGTCTTGGCTTTTGATATGCTTTAATTACTAAGCTTAATCATTTCTAGGTTTTTATTTAAAGTGAGAGATGTGAGACTCTTCCCTTTACTTGACACTTAGAGTCCATTGTAGGGTTATTAGTTGGCCTAAATTCAATATTGTCTTGTCTCAGGGAATAAGGAGACCCAAGGAGAGAGAGAGAGTCATGGGAACGGTTGGTCAGTGAAGCAGTCAGAACACACACAGCATTTATTGATTAAATTTGCTGTCTTACCAGCTTGGGCAACATGGCAAAAACCCATCTCTACTAAAAATACAAAAAAATTTAGCCAAGCATGGTGGTGCTTGCCTGTAGTCCCAGCTACTCTGGAGGCTGAAGTGGGAGGATCATCTGAGCTTGGGAAGCTGAGCCTGCAGTGAGCCATGATCATGCCACTGCACTGCAGCCTGGGTGACAGGAGTGAGTCGCTGTCCAAAAAAGAAAAAAAAAAAAGTTTACTGTCTTGGATGGGTGCAGTTTGTGGCAAAAAACAAATCTGTGGCAAAAAACAATGACAATGCTAACCTCAAAGATCACTGATCACAGATCATCGTAACAGATATGATAATAATGAAAAAGTTTGAAATATTGTGAGAATTACCAAAATGTGACAGAGGAAGTGAGCATATGCTGTTGGAAAAATGGTGCTGATAGACTTGCATGGTACAGGGTTGCCATTCAATTTATTTAAAAAACAAGAAACTATGAAGAGCAACAAAACAAGGTATGCCCATACTCCAAAGGTACTTTTAAGAAATGAAGTTTTGAAAGGATTTGAAAATCAAATGTGTTCATTTTGACTGCTCTTTAATTATGGATTTAGCATTTTGTAGTTTTGATTATGACACAAGTTACATTCGTACGTAAGTTTAGGTGTCACTGGACTTGCTTTGAATCTCCTTTGGTTTTTTTTACTAGGTCTTAACTTACAGAGTCAGTTTAACCTGGAAAATGTCACTGTTTTCAATACCAATGAGCAGGAAAGCACCCTGGGTCAGAAGGTAAGGCTGATTTGAAACCTTCTCAGATAACGTATTTGCAGGTTTGTTGTTAAGATAACTTATGTGGGGCCAGGCACAGTGGCTCACACTTGTAATCCCAGCACTTTGGGAGGCTGAGATGGGCAGATCACTTGAGCATAAGAGTTCAAGACCAGCCTGGGCAATATGGCAAATCCCCATTTCTACAAAAAAAGTACAATTAGCAGAGCATACCTGAGAGGCTGAGGTGGGAGAATCACCTGAGCCCAGGGAGGTCAAGCTGCAGTGAGCCTTGATCACGCCACTATACTCCAGCCTGGGTGACAGAGGGAGGCCCTGCCTCAAAAAAAAAAAAAAAAAAAAAAAAAATCTCATAAACGAGCCTATAAGTCATCAAAAATTTAAAAACTTTTGACTTTATTTCCAACTTACAGAAATAATGTTTTGTATGTAAAAAATTCAAGCAGTGTTTAAAATAGACTGTACAGTTATTCTGTAATCCAAGGTAGACCATGGTAGATTATGGCATAGCTTTCTATTAAAGTGGATTAACGAAGTAGCTGTACTTTCTGTTTTGATAGTGTTAATCATAAGGTAGATTATAGAATAGATGTACTTTCTGTTTTAAACGTTGGGTTATTTTTTGCAGAATATGTATTTTTTCTATAAATTTTTATTATTTCTATAACCACTCATACCATTCTGTGTCTCACCATACCAGGACTTTTTGGGTATATGTACAAACGTGTTGTTTTTCTCCAAAATGAGGTGATTCATACTATTCTGAAATTCACTTTCTTCCTTTAAGATTTAGATTTATCTTCATTTTTAAATGGCCTTTGGTAAATGGATGTATCAGAGTGGATATATCACATTTCTCTGCCTGTGGGCATTTAGATTATGTCTGATAGTGAAAAAAAAAGTTAGTGTCCAGGTAGTATATAATATTGCATCAGTCTGCATCATCTACATCAATTATGCAGATGTCTTTTTAGGATAAATTCCAGTAAGTAAAATTACTGGGTTAAAATATATGCATATTTCATATTTCAATAGCTATTTCCTGGTTACTTCTCAAAGAGGTTATACCAATTTATACAGCCACCAGTGGCACACGGAGAATGTCTTCCCTTTTTCCCCACAGCCTCACCCCAACAGTGTGAATTATCTATTTTTTAAAAATATTGGCTTAATTGATGTATATATTTGAAAAATAAGTCTTCTTAGTTTTAATTACATTTTCTTGATCATTATTGGTGTTAAGGAACTTCTTATATGTTGATTGGGATTTATTTTTCTTCTGTGAATTACCTATTCATGCTATTTGCTCATTTTATTGTTGAACTGTCTTTGTGCATTTCCAAAACATTTAGGCCTTTATTCCCAGAGGGAATCTATTGATTATGTTTAGAAATGCAAATTTGAAACTTTCTACTGTCTTCATGATTGTGTTATATCATTGTCATACTGCTCTTGAGTTCTTCTGTCCGTCAGGTAAAATTCTGATTGCCTTACAGATTAACTATAGGTCTAGATAGTTAGTGACTAGACTTCTCTAACTGGGGGTTGCCTAGGAATGTGTAGCTGACGTATTATTCTAGTATTTATCTCCTGTCTGATGACTGCTTCATGACAGGCTATACATTTTTTTTCAATGTAGCACACTGAAGATAGAGAAGAAGGAATGGATGTAGAAGAAGGTGAAATGGGAGATGAGGAAGCTCCAACAACGTGGTGAGTTTTCAGAGCTTAAGCTTTTTGACTTACAGAGGTAATCTCTTAATTTATTGAGTATCCTCTCTGGGGTGAGGATATAGGCAAGGAGGAAAGAAATTATAAGAAATTTCTTTCATTTGTAATTTTCATGCATATTACTTAAAATAATAAATCCTAAACCACTAACCGGCTTTATCAGCTGGTTTCTATATTAAGTACAGACAGTTCATTGTTTATATAGCCTACCCTATGCATCATCCCAGCATTTGAAAAGCCAACCACAGGCAGCCGTGGGAGCTCCTCCCCTTAATCCCTTCTATTAAACTTGTGGACCCAGTGCCTGTGTGTATTGGGCCAACTTTTAATGAAATAGGGAGGTTAAGAAGCCTTTCCGCCTTCTCTCCCCTTGCTCTTAAAACTGTTTCTTATCTCCTCCTCTATAGCCCTGTGCTTTCTTTCCAGAAGCAATCCTCAGTGGCATAGATAGGTTCTAGAAACTGCAACATTAAGTGAAACGATGTATAATGAAACCAATTTTCCCATAGGCTAATAAACAAAAGTTAGGTTCCTATGGCCTATTTCTAGTCACAAAAACAATCACCAATCTCCTAGATAAAGATGAAAATGCTTCTGTTATTAAACATTGAATAAATGTGAGCTATACATGCATTTGAGAAAGATTAATAAAAACAAGTAAGATAATTATTTGCCTAGTTATTCCAGTTTAAGGTTGCGGGTGGCCAGAGCCTGTCACAGCAACTCAGAGCGCAGGGCGGGAACCAACCCTGTACAGGACGCCATCCTCTCATGGTGTGTATACCCACACACCCACACTCACTCATCCTGGAACCATTTAGACATACCAGTTATTTTCATGTACACCTCTTTGGAATGGAGGAGGGAATCTGACTACCTAGAGAAAACCCACAGAGACATAGGGAGAATATACAAACTTCACATAGACCATGGCCCCAGCCAGGAATCCATTTTTTTTCCCCTCATCAATGTTACAATAAAACAATATTGAAGGAAACATCATTATTTGAAGACCTGCCATAATTTCTTCCTAGCACTGGCTTAGAAGCAATAAGCAAGAGAAAAGAGAAGGTATTAAGGAAAATTTTCCTTCACTGGCACTCTTCCAGGTGTCTGAGATGATGAGAGTCATTAGTTATAATTGAAAGAATTTCCATTATTGTTTAGAAGATCAAGATGGGATTCCTGTATCTGCCCTGTGTTTCTGGCATCCCAGATTTCAAATTCAAACACATCTCCAGAAGAAACATTAGAAGTGGTGTGGCTCCAAGCTTAACTCCAATACTTCCTAGTCATGTTTCAACATCTTTAAAATGTAGTAATGCCACCTACACTCTACAGTTAAGAGGATTAAATAAGACGATGATCAGAAATAGTCTATTAAGGCACTAATTGTTTATATGTAGTGGTAAGTGTAAAGCACTTAGAATATTGTCTATTCAGTGTCTAGTAGCTATTATTTGTTATCGTTATTTTTTTTTTTAGAGACATATTTATTCATTATGCATGGATGGAATAGGCTTTAGGGTCTGGCCTGAGCAACATCAGGGCTCTGGGGCAAGTAAGTAGGCTACAAGATAATGAGTCACCTGAAGTGTAAATGGCCCCAAAGACACCGACCAATGCAGTTTTGTCTAATTAGATTTTGCCTAAGACTGTATAGACAGTTCATCCCTATTGGTTATGTTTGTAAATCCCTTAAATAAGACTTAACTCTCAGCTGCCTCTCTCTGTCACAGTCACTAATGTTGAATAGAGGGAGAAAATATATGAGGAATTACTTTGTAAACAGCAGATGGTCTTAGGCACTGTAATTTACAAAGCGGAACACATTACCCATGTACCTACAATATGAAGTCCATTCAGATTTGGCTGAAATACACCAGTAAACATTTTGTTAAGAAATTTCAATGTGTAACATCCTATAAAATAGCTCAACATTTTAAAAACTGTATCAAATTTTCCAGAGTATTTTGGTTAAAATAGTTACAAGACATTCTATTTTACATAGTAACTGGGTCTCTGATTTGTTATTATTTGCAAATACAATAAATGGTTACATTTGCTTTGTGTGGATAAACAGAAAATTCAGAAGTTTCTGTAGAGTGGTGAAGGTGGGAGGCAAATTGCAAGTGGGTTGAAGAGTGAATGGAAAGGTAATGAAGTGGTGACATGGAGTATAGACAACTCTTTGAAGAATTTTATTCAGCTGTGAAGGAAAAGAGCAAGGGACAGCATCTAGGAGAGGGGACTTTAAGTTTTAAAAAATATATTAATGTCTCAACTATAAAAACTGCCTAACTGTAATATTTAACACAACTTCAAAATTTATTCTGTGAGACGCCTCAGATACCCACCAAGCCAATTAAAGATAAAAGGGAAGAGATCAAAAGCCTTTACAGGTAGGAGATGGTAATTAGCAACTTGGAATAACATTGTTATTGGTATCAAGCATTAAATTAGATGTGAAGTTCTTATCAATTGAGACAAAAGGGACATATAATGGTTGCGTGATTCTCATTCTCTGTTAGAACTAGCCCCATTTTTAAGAGACAAACTTTCCTGGTACTACATTTCAAGAGGTATTATATTCAATCTTACATGTTGTAACTGAGTAACATTTTGTTAGTGTGTGTGTGTGCACAGGCACTTCAAAAACATTCTTTATCAAATGTGGAACTATACAAATATTGGTTCTTGTTCTTTCATGGATGTAAATAATTTATATAGTGCTGTTTCTTTAACGTTTTAGGTAATGTTCTTTTTGTGGCTTTTTGTTTTGTTTTGTTTTGTTTTTGGTTTGTTTGTTTTTTGAGACGGAGTCTCGCTCTGTCACCCAGGCTGGAGTGCAGTGCCGCAGTCTCAGCTCACTGCAAGCTCTACCTCCTGGGTTCAAGTGATTCTTCTGCCTCAGCCTCCTGAGAAGCTGGGATTACAGGCACGCACCACCACGCCTGGGTAGTTTTTGTATTTTTAGTAGAGATGGGGTTTCATCATATTGATCAGGCTGGTCTCGAACTCCTGACCTCGTGATCCGCCCGCCTCAGCCTCCCAAAGTGCTGGGATTACAGGGATTACAGGCATGAACCACCACGCCCAGGCTGTGGCTTTTTTTTAAAAACCCAATTCATAGAAAACCCAGAGGTATAATCTTATTGTTGTAAATCAGTTAAGCTGCTTTAATTATAGAGAGAGGTTAATGTGCAGATCATTGTTTTCCTACTTTCCCAGTTGTTACTAGGGAAAAGTTTAGGAAGAGTGAAAGTAAACCTGCCCATTAGATTCTTTCAGATACTACTAATTCTTGATGAAAGCTTTGGCAAGAACTAGATTTAGATTTTGGTTAGTTAAAAGTTGTCAGTGTTCTTCACTGTTGATTTTCACGTGCCTCACATACTAGCCATTTATCAGATATTAGCTGTTTTAAAAATTAAAAGAATAGGCCGCGCAGTGGCTCACGCCTGTAATCCTAGCACTTTGGGAGGCTGAGGTGGGCGGATCACGAAGTCAGGAGCTTGAGGCCATCCTGGCTAACACGATGAAACCCTGTCTCTACTAAAAATACAAAAAATCAGCTGGGCGTGGTGGTGGGCACCTGTAGTCCCAGCTACTCAGGAGGCTGAGGCAGGAGAATCGCTTGAACCCGGGAGGCAGAGCTTGCAGTGAGCCAAGATCACACCACTGCCCTCTACTCCAGCCTGGGCAACAGAGCGAGACTCCTTTAAAAACAAAAAAAAAATTAAAAGAATATGTATTGACACTGTAGATTTGTGACATATCAAGATTAGAAGTTGAATTAGTAGTGCCATAATAAAGTCACTAGAGAAAGGGCTTATTTTTGTGATGCTAACTTGATATGTACCATATATGTTTATCTCATACTAATGCTTCTTAGGATATGTTATTAGTTAGTGACTTTTAACATAGATTCAGATTAACATCGGCTTAAACAACATAAAAGTTGATTTTTTCCCCCTCATATCGAAGTCTAGAAGCAGGCAGTCCAAGGCTGGTAAGGGAGCGCTGCTCAGTGAGATTGCCTAGACCCTGGTTTCTTCTGCCTTCTTCTTCCATCATCTCTTGGTGTTTGCCGTTTTTCCTGTAGTGCAGGGTGGCTCACTCTCACATCTACATTCTAGCCAGCAGGAAGAGGAAAAGGCCAGTGATAAAATATGGCCCAAAAGTTGCACATATGACTTCTGCTCCCAACTGATTGGCCAGAATTTAATCACATGATCATACTAGCAGCAAGATTGGTTGGGAAACATAATCTTTGATTCTGAATAACCATGTGTCCTACCAAAATTCAGGGGCTCCACCAGTGTAGATAAAGAGAGTCTATTGGGGTCTGTGAGTTCCCTAAAATGATTTGTAAAAGTTTATATAAGTATTTGTGAATGTGTACTTTTCTGATAACTTTCATTAGCTTCTGAAAATGGTTTGTGACCAAAGCTAAGAATATTTAGATATTTGTAAAAGAATTTAAATGATTTATGTAATGTAACATTTATTTTATTAGCTCTATTCCAATTGATTACAACCTGTATCGAAAATTCTGGTCACTTCAGGATTACTTCAGGAACCCCGTGCAATGCTATGAGAAGATTTCATGGAAAACTTTTCTCAAGGTGAGTTGCCAGTGACAGACTGTCAGAAGCCTAGTATTTTATAGCCAGTGATAGAGCTAAAACTTACCCTTGTCTAACATACTTTTCACTATTTTATTCTACCTCTTACATTTTTATACCAATTTCATAACAAGCTAAATTACAAATTAATATTTAAACCACTATTATTGTGAAGTAGTGTGTAAGAATCGGATATTTAAAAGTCATTACAGCCTTGCTTTTTTGGAATATAATGAGTGTTATCAACATAAATTGATGATATTTTGCAGAATATATTCTGTCTTTGTACAAAACTATTTTAGCTGTCTTGTTGAAACAGAAGTCCTCAAGTCATGGCCCTAGGCCAGATCTGACCTACTGCTTGTAAACAAAGGTTTATTGGAATACTACCATGACCTCCACTTACCTGTGGCTGTTTTTGCACTATAATGGCACAGCTGAGTAGTTGCAACTGAGACTATAAAGGCCACAAAGCCTGAAATAATTACTCTCTGGTCCTTTATGGAAGAAGTTTGCCAATCCTGTTTTAGAAGAATTTTTTATATTTTTCTTGGGTACTTAAAGATCAGTTATCCTTTTTTGTTGTAATCAAAATATAAGATAAGTAGGTAGTTCTCAAAGTAGCGTGGTGTGTGTTATGTTATTTTTAATAGTTTTTGTTTTGTATGCAATTTTTTGTTGGGGCAGCACCATCCAAATTCAGATTAAGTGGTTAGTGAGAAATAATCTGAAATTGTCTTCTAACGGAACAGAATTTGATGGAATTTATTTGCTCAGTCTTTAGCACAAGAAATACATAAGAGTTTCTACAGGTAGTTAAACAATTTCACTGGTAAATTCCTATACACTCTTAAAAGTGTTCCCTTCTCTGTTTGTCCCTTATACAAACTTCTTAAATCATATTTCTTTTTTTTTGGAGACGGAGCCTCCCAGGTTCAAGGGATCCTTTAGCCTCAGTCTCCCGAGTAGCTGGGACTACAGGTGCCCGGCTAATTTTTGTATTTTAAGTTGAGACAGGGTTTCACCATGTTGGCCAGGCTTGTCTCAAACTCCTGATCTCAAGTTACCCGCCCACCTCAGCCTCCCAAAGTGCTGGGATTACAGGCATGAGCCACCGCGACTGGCCAAGAAATCGCATTTCTTTAGGAGTGGGGAACTTGTTCCTACTTTTACAACAAGTGAAATATCCACAATAGTTTTTACTCCCATAATTTTTATTGTTAATGTGCCTTACAATATACAATATACATACATGATTGAGAGTAAATTCTAGACATTTTGATGCAGAAAAGCACTAAACAAATTTGGATAACAATGTCGAATAAAACTAATATTTTTATTTTGCAGTATTCTGAAGAAGTTTTAGCTGTTTTTAAGAGTTATAAATTAGATGATACTCAGGCCTCAAGAAAAAAGATGGAAGAATTGAAAACAGGAGGAGAGCATGTATATTTTGCAAAATTTTTAACAAGTGAAAAGGTATAAGTTTTTCTTTCTCACTAAGCATAATAAGAAATGGTCTTGTTTTATTTCTGTTTAGCTGACAGCCTTTCTAACTTAAATTGAATAGAAATGTTTCCTATTTTTACTTTGAGTTAAAGCTGATTAATGTTACTTTGAAAGTCCCATTTCTTCCTTTCACAAGTAGGACTAATTTGATTTCAAAGGTGAAAGTAATTCTACATTAAGTCTGTTTTGTAGACTAATTTTGGAATAAATGCAGTTTAATTACTTTCATGTCTATATATTTTAAACGTCAGGTTAGGATTTAATTTGTATATGAAAATAATATTTCATAATTATTATTTAGGTACAAGTAAGGGGTTTAAAAGTTCCTTGTTAATCTTATTTATACATTTTAAAAAGTAAATTTTGTTCAAATATAATGCTACAAGATGATGTAAAGTTTCTAGTCAAGATGGCACATTGAGTTTATGTTTCGACTCACTCCCTTTGCTCCAAACACATAGCAGTGACGGGTAAAATATAAACGAGAAAACAAAAGAGACAAGGCTGGGCTTCCACAAACAAGATAAATATCTTCATGGACCAGAAATGCCAAGTAGTGAGCAAAACTGCAGCCTGGGCCTGCTGGACTCTCTATCCAAGGCAGGTGGTGGTGTCCAGGAATTTGGCTACAAGTAACAGAGACTAAATGTGCACCATGTGGGACAAGGGGCCAAAGCCAGTTTCGCTTCTTGAAGCCAAGGACTAGGGTGGAACTTTTATCCACTTTTGGAAAGAAACTAAGAAAAAAGATTGCCAGTCTTCTGCCAAGGGCTATGATTTTATAGGAAGTTGTGAGCCTAGGGATAACAAAGACAGCTTTGTGTCCATCTGCTTGCTCAGTGACCAGATATGTGATATGCTAAGTATACTTATGAAGCAGCTGCTCTAAGAAGTCATCATAAGACTTATTCTAGACTTTTGGACTCAGGGGCCCTGGTAGAAGCAGATGCAGAACTGCTAGAAAGGGAAGGATGTACACAGAGAGGGAGGGGAAAGGAAGTAAACAAACATCCCAAAAGAAAAGGCTCCTGTTCAAAACTCTGATAAATTAAAATTCCAAAATCCATAAATCTAATGCTAAGAAGGATCACCAGCAAAATCAACTCTTGGGATAGATGTATATTTATTCCAGATGAAATATATAACCTGACCAAGACTTCATATATGTTTTGGATACTCAAAAAGATAATTGATGAGATAATCCATTGAAAAGGAACAAGAAATCATGAAACAGAAGCAGGCTGAAATGAAGTAGGACAGTCAACACAACTAATCAGGAGTCTTGGAAATGAAAAATATAATCATTGAAACCAAAACTCAGCACACAGAATTAAACTATACACTGGACATAGATGAACAAAGAACTAGTGAACTGAAGAAGGTGATGAGAACTTCATCCAGCAAACAGCACAGTTTTGTTTTTTTTTTAAGTGAAGGAGCAGTTAAAGGCCATGGTGAATAGATTGGGAATTTCCAACATTTGTCTAGTAGGATTTCCAAAGAAGAAAATGGAGGGAATGGTAGAGAAACTGGATTGCAAAGAATTGAAGGAAATCTCAAATCCTCAGCTTAAAAGTATGCCACAACTGCCAAGCAGGATAAAGAAGGATAAATCTACGCTTCAGTACCTCATGCCATAACTGTGGGCATTCAGAGAAAACCTAAAAACCACTAAGGGATAAGAAAGACAGATATACTGGGAAGGCACAGCGGTTTGACTGTTAGCAGATTTCTAACAGCTATCAACCATTAATACCAGAAGACGGTAGAGAAATACTAAAGTGCTGAAAGAAAAATGGCATTGAATCTAGAATTTTATACCAAGTTAAATATACCCAAGACTGCCGATGAAAGAAAGACATTTTTGTTTAAAGACCAGGATAACTTACCACTCAGTGACCCTCATTTTGAAAAAAACTACTCAAAGATGTTCTTCAGGAGGAAGGAAATTGAACCCATAAGAATGGAGTGGGATACAGAAGGCAACGGTGAGCACAAAAATTAAAAAATATAACAGTAAATTTACTATTGACTATAAACACAAAAAAGTCATGAATGATTTAAAATATTTTTGATTAAAAAGTTTTATTAACATGGAACTTAACTAGATGACAGTAATAATATGGAAGGGGAAAGCAGAGATGTTTAGTGAGTAATTTAAAATTATGGCAGTCCTTGTAATCTTCAGGCGTAGGAAAGGAATACTGAATATTCCTTTTCATGTATATTAAAAGGGTAACCACCAAAAGAAAACCAACTTGTTGCTCTCAAAGAGCAGAGATCAAAGGGAGGCAGGGAGGAACCTAGACTACTTTATAAATCCGGCAAATGGCAGAAAGGGAAGGAAAAAGGAAGAGAAAGGAGGGGAGAAATATGTCAGTAATAACAAGTATAAACTGATTTAATTTACCTAATAAGACTTTATCAGATTGGATTTTTAAAACTCCAGCTATATTTGTTAATTTAAATGAAACAAATATAGAAACCTTTTGGTTGACTAAAGAATTCAAAGGTTTTATTCTACCTTATGTGGAAGAGGAGAGGAAAATCCCAAAGCTCTTCTTGCTTAACAGAGAAACTTCCCAAGGTTATCTACTTTTTAGAATGCAGAGGTGTCAGTTTAATATTATCAGGGCAAAAAAGTTACAAAATAAAACAACCAGTAAGACCTGTATACTTTTAAGACTTACAGGTCCACATTTCTCAGGACATGACAGCTGTTTCAAAAATCTGGATGTCTTAATAGATTTTTTTTTTTTTTTTTTTTGAGACGGAGTTTCACTCTGTCGCCCAGGCGGGAGTGCAATGGCGCGGTCTTGGCTCACTGCAACCTCTGCCACCTGGGTTCAAGCGATTCTCCTGCCTCCGCCTCCCGAACAAATAACGTTTCTAAAGACATTTTAATAATGAAAAACAGCAGGATTAAACATTTTCAGAGAAATCTCCACATTGGAATATGGGATTGATGCTTTTATATCATTCTCCATTCACTTTATCACACTTGGCTTTCTAATAGTATCTCTCCTTTTATGAATCTTTGTAAACTTGCTTTCACCAGCAGTTAGAACATGAACTTTCAGGATTAAGCTCTGAAATTTCATTAATTAATACCACGAGGAAGGTAAAAGCAGCTTTGAGAAGCTTAAAACTTACCATAGGAATAAGAAAAAGGCACAAAATAGTACCAAAGAGAATGTGAGACGTAAAATGTTTTGCATCTTCATTTCCCTTTGTTGCCCCTTGAGCAACAACTTTATCTTAAATTTACAGTCCTCCTTGTACATTCTTCGTATTTTTTGGTGTATTTTTAGTGTTTACTACTTAATATACAAGTGAAAATATTTGTAATGCGTTACCTATATCATGAGAAATATGCAACATTTTGTAAGCTTTACTGCTGCACTGAAAGAAGCCTTTCAGCATCTCTATACCTTATGTGGTATACTAGGATTCCCAAAAAGGCCTTTCCACCTAAATATACGCTAGTTTTGGGCCTGATGTTACTTTCAACTTCTGATATAGATTTGGTAAGTCATGGGAAAGGTCTGGATTTTTCAGGGATACAGGTGCTGTATTCCTTGCCAGTAAGAGCTAGCTAAAGTGAAATCTAAAGCTGTGATTATTTGGAGCATAATTCTATAGCCTATCATTTCACTGGTGAATAGGTTTAGAAAAGTGCTTATCATTACAAGGTTAGATATTTCATCTCTGTAATAGAGCCTGTGACCCCATCCAATGGGAATATTATTATCCAGAAGCATTGTGTTTTGTTACATGAATCTGGTCAGACTTTTCCTTAGGGATAGTCCGGAAATAATACTTGGCAAGTTTGATATAAAGTTTTTTTTTTTTGAGACACTTTTTTTTTTGGCCCACTGCAACTTCTACATCCTGGGTTCAAGCGATTATTGTGCCTCAGCCTCCTAAGTAGCTGGGATTACAGGCACCCAACACCACGCCTGGCCAATTTTTGTATTTTTTAATAGAGACACGTTTTTTTGCCATGTTGGCCAGGCTGGTCTCAAACTCCCAACCTCAGGTGATCTGCCTGCCTCAGCCTTCGAAAGTGCAGGGATTACAGGCGTGAGCCACTACGCCCAGCCAGATGATATAAACTTTATAGTTGGAGATAGGCCAGTTATGTGGCAACTACAGGTAGGCAGAGGTTCTACAAATAAAATGGGTGTCTTTGTAAATTATCGTATCTTCCTTCCTTAAAGACAGAAGTTTCCCCTAGAAACAAAGTGCCACATTTTTGTGCTACCTAGAGTGTGATTGTAAATACTAATGCCCAACAGTATAGTTCCCTTGTTAGCAGAGCAAAATAATCCAGGGATACTACTTGCTAAATGTAGTGCTGAGATACCTGGGTTGTTTATTTTTTAATGGAGTGGAAAAGTATCTGTTCTTTAAGGTTAGTTCAAGGTCATACTCAGAAATTTTAAGGGAGGATTTTACCTCTAATTGTTCAACTTATACCAAATAAAAGGCACTGGTATTATAGGGATTCCTCCCTCCGTACTATGTAACATGTAAAAGTAGAACAACATTTCAAAACATTTAAGTACCATGAGTATTACCATGATGGTTAAAGGAATATATTTTTGGATCTTTTAAGTTCTCACAGAAAAGAGTATAACAACACTAACTAGATATAGGCTTTAGGGTTACCCAGTCCTTTAGAATAATACGCCTCTCGCTTTCCATCTGAGACTCAGTGACCAGAATGATCAGATGGAATACTCAGTGGCTAGCAGTTACCAGGGTGAGGTTACCCACAGTCATGTACTGTTGACCCTAGTGTGGTCATTAGGCCATTCTTTTTCATGGAGAAAAGAAAATTCACAATTTTGCTTGGTCTTTGCATTGCGTGAAGAGGCCTCTAGTTAGGACTTTTGGTCATTTTTTTAAAAAAAGTTCCTGGCAGTAAGAAACTATCCATACAGTCATTCTGCCTTAAATGTTTTGTA